CTATAATGTTTTAAATAATAAAAAAGAAAAAGCGAGGTCAAAGCAATTTTAATGTACGTCGCGATTGTAGAGACCCATGTGCCACGGTCCTCACATACATTTGCAATCACAATGGTTTACCGGTTTCACGAGACTGAATTGCAATTGTTTTTTCCTCTATAGATCCATTGGGTTTCAGGTGTTACCTGTACCTGGGGTGAAGATACAGGAGTTAGTTGAATAATAACTGGAAATTTTCTGGGATCTCTCGGTGTACGTTCCCTGTCGCGATAAACTTTTCTATTGAAAATACATGACTCTCACAGCGAATTCAGTACTCCGGGAAATTCGTGGAAAGTTGCGAGGTGAATGGTGAAGAGGATGAATGGAAAATTGAGTTCTGTTGGGAATTTGTTATTTATTTTTTAATTGTTACGGGAGCATTCAATATTTTTGGCGCACTTCTTGTGAATTAATCGTTCACTGGGGCATGCATTTTCGGTCAAGTATTTCATGGAAATTCGAACGAAATCCAAGTATTCTTCTTTTTTACCGAATAACTATTGGTAGTTGTGAATTGATTTCACTGGTTTGATGTGAATATTGCTCGATAAATGCAGCTCACCTACCTGCACGCACGCGAAACCCTGAAACTCTCTCAAACTCTATAATAAAGGAAAAAACACGCGAAGAACATTTTCTCGACGGACTATTATCACCAGTGACACGCGACATCGCCGTGGAAAAAAACAGTGAAATAAAGAACCGAGATGGGGGAATTATCCACACGGAGAAAAAAAATTCGATACAAATTACCAGAAAAAAAAATGTGAAAATGGAGTTTTGGAAAGCAATTCAGGTGCGAAGCGAAGTTCAGTGAAAAACGAGGGGCAACTGTAATTGCAGCAGTTGCTACGGAAATTCTGCCATTTGTGCAAGATCGATTATTTAAATAATTAACCAACCTGTGCTGGACATTTACCGAAATAATTACCCTGAGAAAAAAGTCCATTTTTACTGAATATTGATTTACTCGGTTTGGAGTGATCGATCGTTTTAGAATCGATACTCGATTTTAAAAATCATTTTCGCGGGTCGAGCAATCGGTAGGACGGATTTTTTTTCCGAAATCGGTATTCTCTGCGAATTTTCTAAATTTTTACTTTTAAAAATTTTCACTCTCATTCACAGATATTATTTAAATTTGAATTTCTAAATTATGGAACGATGTGTCGTTTATAAAAATTATAATATTAAATATTTGATAGGTTTTTATTATCAGTTATTAATTTTTTTCAATTCAAGTTTAAATTTGAGTTTGTAATTTTTCGGAAAAATCGAAAATGAAAATTCAAACGGTGGATTTTCATAAAATCGAATTCGATTGCAGTCGATCCATCCATCCTTAATATATATATATATAAATATATATATATTAAGGCCCAAATATAAATATATCTTTTAATACATACACTGACCATGCAAGACACTTGCATTAATTCGTGATTATTGAATGAAATAAAAATTATCATTTATTCATTCATTTATTCATTTAATTATTGTTCGGCGGACGAAAAAAAAATGAGAATGGACGCGTCGACTATTGGCAAGAGGGGGAGGATGTATAAAAATTCAAGAAGCGTAATTCCGGGTTGCATATGTGTGGTAGATACAACATAAACAACCGGAGCTTGGGCTCGATGAACACGAGACGATGGCATTAATGCTATGTTGTTCATATCAAGAGAAAACAGAAGGAAACCGTTCGACATTGACATTCTACATGCACACAAATTACCCACTTCTCTCCTCTTCATAATTCTCTTTTTTCGGCTCTCTTTATCGCGACTGAAAACACGCGCGTGATTATAACCCGTGTCTAATTGAAACTTCAGCACGAGAGAATAACCGTTGCATCACGAGTTGTCACGCTGTCTAATCACTAGCAAGTTGTTGTTGCTCATTGCCATGAACAATTCCAAATATCTGGATAACTTGTTGCTATTGGGGATGGAGTTGGGATAATCGATATGCCTTCGGGCTTTTGCTCAGGTATTCTCCATGTTGGGATGGAGAAGAACATGACCGCGGGAATTTACTCTTGTATAGTTGACGAATTGTTTACGATTTTATAGTAGACAGGATTTTTTTTTATAAAAAATTACGTGACTTTCGTTCACTTATCGATTACTTATTATGGAAAATTTACTGCGGTGTTATTTTGCATTTTTATAAAGTTGCGAACAAATGCTTCTTGGGGATTCACGGAATTTTTCTGGTTTGGGATTTTAACTCGTTTTGTTATGGATTGATGCACGGAGAGAGATATTTTTATTGAAAATTACGGAACTTAAGTTCATTCATCGATTACGGAAGTAAACAAGAGCATTTATTCGACACCGTAATTTTCCATACAAATCCGGAAATCCATACAAAAATTACGGAACACTCCTAAAAAATTCCGCAATAGTTCCGTCCAATTTTCCTACGTTATTTATTTATTATTTAAATACGTTATTTATTTAAATAAATTTCGCTCCGGAAATACCGAAAAGCTTTACGATACATCTCAAATATCATACTGGAAAATCGGAATAATTTTGGGAACTCTTCTCGAGACCAGAATATAATAAAAAATAAATATTCCACCTAAAAATTTTTTCATAAAAAACTGATCGTTGGAATTTTCATTCATTTTCAAATCTCATCATTGCTTCGTGCTATCTTAACTCCTAAATTTTTCTTGAATTCCCGTAAAAATGATGAAAACACTAATTTCAACTTCGCATTACGTGAGTTGTTACGTAATTTTACCGGAAGTTTTAGTTTTCGTGTTTCGTCGAGTAAACCTCGATTTGAGATTAATTTGATACTGAAGAGTCGGGGAATGGCTGTTGGGTGGATGGTGGGGTTTAAGTAGGGGATTTAACAGGCTCGATATTGGTAATGTTGGTGATGTTGGTGATGGTGGTGGTACCTCTTCCTCTGTAATTCCGGAGTCGTAAATGCAGGCGTGTTACGACCGTTCAGGAATCGTGAAAATCCACCACCAGCCAATTCTCCTCCCATTCCAGGCTTCATTTGGCCTGGACCGCTTTTCCAGTAGTCCGATTAGGAATTTATGTCTTTCCGGCCTCATCAAAGTTTTTGGATCAGCTTTTGGAGGGAAACCCATCGAGCAAACCACTCAAAGAAAAAAAAAAACCCGGAAAATTACGTAACAATGGCGTACACCTGCGCTCTTTGAAAATTTAAGTTTTGAGTTTAAAAAAAACGAAATTTCCAACAGCCATTAGGTGACATGAAATTTCGATAAAATAATCAGTTATAATTTAACTTGGAAAAACAATTTTTTTAATTTTTAAGATAAATCAGAAACTTGATAATCCTTTTTAATAAATTGAATTCAAACTCATATAATTGAAAATTTCCATGCTGACATGGCTTCTTGACTAAAAATGCAAGGAACTTTCAATAAAAATTGAAGCCTGAACTCAAAAAATAACGGAATAAACCTGAATTTCTTCGAAACCATCAAATAACTTCTTTGCGACGTGAACTAAAAATCACGTCGAAGTAAACTAAAAATTCCCGTTAATTCCCTAATTATCTTAAAAAAAAAAAAAGAAAAACTCGTCACCCACATTGACACGTAATTCTCCCGCAATTCGTGAATATTCCCCGGCGCAGAGAAATGATAGATGTTGTCATCTGGTGATATTCTGACGTTCTCTTGAGGAGATAATTAGGGTCTTTGACAGTCGCCCTTGGCAAAACGACAAAATGACAGGGATGGGGCGACGAGGGGGTGTTTTAGGGTGGCCAGGGGGTGGGTGAAAGGGGGACATATATTGCGGTGCATAACGATTGTCTCGTGGTTGTCGTATAACTGACAAACAGACAGGAACATCGCAGACGTAATGCTCGCCAAGTAGCTTGCCAGTGTATTATATCGGAGAGAAACAGGTTGTGAACCTGGGGATAGAGTATCGGTATCGATCGAACGATGAACAATGGCAATTCAACGGTACGGTCAATTGCACACGCATTTGGGAGCGGATCCTATCATCCGTGGATCCATTGTCCTTCCTAGCTCTGCTCTGATGCAATTTATCGTTGGGACTGCGCCCTTGTCAATTACCCAGCTATTCTTCAAACTAACTTAATCAATATATTGCCAAAGAGTCTTCCCAGCATTTTTCATTGTATTCATCGGAAAATCTAGGAGAATCAACAGGACATACCGACATTTACCCCGCCATTCACTCAGAACACATCGAAACGATTTTTTTTTTTCGTTTTTCATTTTTTTTTTTTTTGCATTGGGTTTAACAGCGGAAATTATGGTAATTGGAAATTATGGAAAATCATTTCGTTTCTTTTTTCAACATTCTTTAGGCGCATTTTGTAATTTAATCGTCATTTTTCATGGAAAATGGGCGATTTATTTTTTAATTGGAACCGCCGATTTGATACACCGGGTTTACGATTCAGACAAAAACTTTTATTGAAATTTCAGGTTCAATAGGTTCAATAGATTCAATAGATTTATTGGAGTTTGAATAAATTTTGCTATTGGAAATTCGAAATTTTATATAAAGATAAATGAAAAATATAAATTTCAGTTGAATCATTCCATAAAAATAAATAAAAATCCGAGTTCATAAGAGAATTCTCCTCGTATCGGCTAATTCCAAAATAAAATATTCAATTTCTGATCTGTGAAAATAAATTTGTGAAATAGTTAAGAAGCTTCTCGGCCAAATCAGTTAATCCAAGTGGTATTAATTGGAATTAATTGGTATCTCATGCCTAATAAAGCTGAGACAATGGCGAGGTACGGCCATCTCAATTTTCCGAATAATTATTGTCCGATTTACCCGGTTGAAGGAGAGTCTGCCTTACACAAACTCTTTATTCAGCCTTTTACCCGGCTTATCTGCCGTCTATCCTCAGTTATCCGACCAGGCCAATTATCTTAATTAACTCAATTATCGTTCTATCCGTCCTTCTTGTTTCAGGTACGCACCTTGTTCGTGAGTGGCTTGCCGATGGACGCCAAACCGAGGGAACTCTATCTACTTTTCAGAGCGTACGAGGTGAGTTCATCTTCTCTTTTACTCTATATTTTAATCTCTCTCACTCGTCTCGAATCTTTCCGAAATCTTTACTCCCCAATTACGCCCCTCCCCCCCTCTTTGTCCTATTCACCGGACCTGATAATTGTAATCCTAATTACAATTTTCATCTTCTCGTTTTATTCTGCATTTTAATTTTTTTCACTCGATCCGAATGTTTCGATTATCTCCACACCTCGAATATCTCTCCCCAGTCCCCCAGCCCC